TTTTTAATTTCTTCTCTGGACTCTGGACTGTTTGGTCACCACACTGTAAAAAGCTTGCGAAGAACTATTTTTTGCATAATGAAGAAATTTCAAGCGTTGTAAAATGCTTTGCATTGCGAACTAATTCTTCGTACCTTACGAAGAAAATCATTCGTAACCTTGCAAACCATTTCTTTGCAACTTACAAAGAAAATAGTTTGCAATGCAAAGAAAATAGTTCGCAATGCAAACTTCCTTACAATGCTTCAAAATTCTTTGCAAGAATTTTGCAGTGCACAGCCGAAAAATTTGGTTGCTGTCACTAGTATGGTGTTCTATCTGCCCCCTTAGTCATAACCATAGAACGTCCTATCGTGCTGGCTGAGCGTTCAGACGCTCCAACCAAACACTCCAGCCAGCACGATAGAACGTTCTATGGTTATGACTAAGAAGGGCAGATAGAACACCATTTTAGTTACAGCAACCAAAGTTTTTTTCTCCGTGTGCTTCGGCAACCTCTATGGCGCTCGGTTTAATTGGAGTTTGGTGATCACTTTTGACTGAACTTGACTTAAATATCTGCCGCCTCATACCCTCCGGCCCCACCCTCTTTCTTTACACCCCCGGTTGCGACATAATTTCACGGAAATCAATCGAATTTCTTTCTGTTTGAGTGTTTCCCCAACAAGAATAATTGTGCATGGACTACTTATAAACTGTTTCCGAGAAAAATGTTTTACTTTGCTGAATACTCAAAATACTGTCACAACTTTCACACGTGCACTTCTTCACTCGCAAAACATTGAAAATGAAAATAATTTTAAAAATGTAAGACTAAAAACGCTTAAGTTTTTTACGGCACATACGATGAAATTCATTTTTTGTGTGTTGCAGCGGTCTGGCAGCGTGCGCGGCGAGGACATCCCCTACGTGCTCGGACTGCCGCTGGTCGCCGGGCGACCCTTCTTCCCGCACAACTACAGCGGCCCGGACGCCCAGGTGTCGCTCATGCTCATGCGGTACCTCGCCAACTTTGCCCGGAGCGGGTAAGTACATCAGCGTGCTGCCGCCGGTGTGTGTGTGTTGTAATAGACTCACGGGTATATATACCAGAGGGAAATTCAGCTTTTGCTCGTTCGTGCGCAATAATAAAGCTGTGTTGCGAAACCTGAGCGTTTATGCGTAGGACGATGTACAATGTCGTAAATACTGCTTGTGACGCAATAACTCAGCGTTGTGGATTATTGTATTTTTTTTAACAGACGTTAAGACAGACCCTACCTCTAGGTCCCTAATAAAGCTTACTCACTAACGTAAATTGTGGGGCCGAAAAAAGAAAATTACAT